GTGTAAAGTAAACAAACCCACTCTGAGCTATAAAGCATCACTAAGATAAAAATAGAACCTCACAAGGAAAGTCTTTTGATTCGGGAGCTCTCAAGACAGTCATACACCTCAAACCTCCTTGTGTACTGTCTGCCTCAAAGTCAAAGGGCTAACAGAGGACTGGGAAATGAAAATCAACTTCATCGGTACTTAAACAAGCAATTGTTTATATACCATCTTACCTGCAAAGTGGATTTCATCTGGTTTACCATAATAGGACATAAAGGAGAGACTAAGAATGTTTATAATAAAAATAAAAGGAGGGATGGAAGGCTGAGAAAATACATACCTGAATACATTTTCTGAGCTCTTTTCTCCCTAGGACTTTGCTGAGGCAACTGGAATAGTTAGAGGTCAAATACATGTGTGTGGGTATGTGTGGGGGTGGGTGTATTTCAATATAGGGGGTATGGTGCACAGGTAAAGGTATTATTTTTTCGGCCAGTTCAAGCACAAAAAGGACTAGCATATAAGACTAGGACTTTGAGTCCTAAAGAAGTTTATATCGGAAGAGAGTATATTTGGGGACCCATTATTGGGTTAGGGTATATAAGATAGAAAAACCTTGCAGCTGAGAAGGGAACTTGAAACTCCAAAATGTGGGTCCAAGTCCACTCTTCCCTCAGGAGCCTCAGAGTGAGCAAGGCAGACTGCCTGGCCTCCGCACACTGGGGAGAAATACCTCTGCCTACAATATACAGTCCCAGGAGAAGCAGCTAACTCAACTGATGCTGCCATGCTTATTTGATGACTAATTATTAGATAACCTGTAATTCAGGAATGAATGTGACTTTATCTCAAAGCCTAGCTTCCTAGGAGTTGTCACTGTGTCAGACAGCTTATTGTTCGGCTTAGTGGTTGCTCAGAGGTGTTGTTGAGCCCTCAGCATCTGTGGGGCTTTTAGCATATGTGGATGGAGTCCTATGCAGCTTGGGGAATGTTTGCAAGTCTGCCTCATGTTCTGATTTGATGCTTAAGAGTGCTTATGCACAGCCTTCCCAGTCTCCAGAGCTCACTATGTACCAGAAGTAACTTTCCAGGCTATTTCTTCCCTTGTTCTTTCTGTAATTCTCCTTTTTGGTGCTATATCATGGAACGATGGGTGCCCTCTCAATTACTTTCCACTAAAACACCTTCACTGTTTTCAACAAAGCTCTTAGGTGTGGAATTCTCCTTGCTCTGATCCAAATAAAATCAGTCTCCTGGGAAGAACCACAGATTTTTGTGCAGGCTTCCATGTACTTGACAAGAACCAAGGCCAGAGGCAGGTGTTATGGTACAGCTGGCCACTTGGGATGCCCACATCCTATATCAGAATGCAGGTTAGAGTCCTAGCAACTCTGCTTCTGATGCAGCTTCCTGCTAATGTGCCTGGAAAGGCAGTAGATGATGGCCCAAGTATTTGTTTCCTTGTCTCCTTTATGATAATCCCAAATGGAATTCCTGGCTCCTAGCTTTGCCCTCACCAACACCAGATGTTGTGGGCATTTGAGGAATGAACTAATGGTTGGGAATGAACTAATGGTTGGAAATCATTCTCCCTGTCACTCTGCTTTTCAAATCAATCAATCAATCAATCTTACAAAAAGAAAAAGAACTAAATCCCGGGTAGGACAGTGCCCCCCTACTCCCACAGTAACATATCTGTAGGGGTTGAGCTTGGTATTCCTTAGTCTTCATGGCTTTCTCCTCCTGGGACAGAACCTGTGCTCTATCAGTCAGGTTAGGTGACAGCACTCTACTGTTCTTGGTCTGCTGCATCTGGTGTAGAGCTCCCACCCCTACCTGCACAATTGGTCTATAATAGAACTTCTGCAATAAGGTGGAGGTAGAAGGATGAGCAATGCAGGCAGCCTGCTGAGCCAGGGAAAAATCATAACCTCACACTGGCAAGGGAGAGAGGAAGCCCCTGGCTCCTGACCACATTTGCAGAATTAGAGCTCCTGCCACAGTTCATATTAAGACGGAGTTGCAACAAAAGAGCTGTTTCTCCTGTGCCACAGATATGCACTGTTCTTACCGAGTTAGTAGATTTTCTTGGAAGCATGAGTATTCATTGTTGTATGCCATTAGAACAATTTCTAGAAATATTAAATGCTGTCTCATATAATTTTCTCCAGTTCCATGGTTGTTTGCTAGGAAGTTTGTTCTGGAAGTCAATCTACTAAGCACAGGTATTTTGTAAACGTAAAGGAAAGAAATTTCAAAAAACCTTCATGTAGTAGGTGCTTTACATATGTATTTAATTCATTTCATTTACTCATCATGAATTAATCACTACACTACCCTTGTGGGTACTGTTTCTCTTTTTCATTGGGAAGGACAAAGATTCAAAAGTTGAGGTTAAATTCTTGGAATCACAGTAGTTTAGTACAGGTAGCAACATACAGATCTAACACCAAACTATGTTCCATAACTGTGCCAAGCTGCTCAGTATTGGGTTCAACCAAGAAGTGAGAAACGCAAAAGAAACACAGGCCGACCTGAGTCTGAAATCAATCTGTTTCCTATTTATACCAACAACCTTCTTATAATCTGATTAGGATAAAGTTGTGAAAACAATACGGCAATTAACTTTGTTGATCACTAAATATTGACTAAATATGTGCTACAGATTATCTCATTTTATTTTCACCTAAAGAACAGACAGTATCCTCCTAGTATATAATGGTATTAGTAATGGTATTGGCCTCAAGACGTACACTATCACATCTGAGAGGCACAATTCAGACTCGAAAGGCCATGAAGCCAAGGTTTACATTGCCTTCCCACATACAATGACCATGTCTTATTGCTCAGGTTATGTAGGACTGCTAAGAAAATTGCGCTGTGGCGTAGCAGGTAAAGCCACCACTTGCAGTGCTGGCATCCCATACCAGCGCCAGTTCAAGTCCCGGCTTTTCCACTTTCCATCCAGCTCTTTGCGATGGCCTGGGAAAGCAGTAGCAGATGACCTAAGTCCTTGGGCCACCGTACCCACATGGGAGGCCCAGAGGAAGCTCCTGGCTTCGCATCAGCACAGCTCCTGCCATTGTGGCCAATTCTGCCTCTCCATCTCTCTCCGTGTGACTCTATCAAATAAATTAATAAATCTTTTTTTTTTTTTAAAGAAAATTGCATAGAGGTTTATCTCTCTGTGGAAATGTCAAATTCTTCACATGACACATTATTCTCATTTTAAACACATATATATTTTATTTGAAAGGCAGAACAACCTAGAGAGAGACATCTCCCATCTACTAGTTTACTACCCAAATGGCTGCAATGGCTAGGGCTGGCTCAGTACAAAAGTAGGAGCTAGGAAACCTCCATCCTGGTCTCCCATATGGGTGGCAGGTATCTTCCGTCGCCTTCCCAGGTGCATTAGCAGGGAGCTGGATGGTCGCAGAGCAGCCTGGAATCAAAAGGCACTCTTATAGTGTCACAGGAGTGGGGATGCTAGTGTGGCAAGTGGTGGCTTAACCCACTATGCCACAATACTTCCTTTCACCTTGTTTTCACTTTTGGATTTCTGCTTTTACTAGCAATCTTGTCATTAATCAGTATTTAACTGAAATTTCTGTTTACTATAAAGTCTTAATTTCAGTTTTTGTTTTTCATAGAAATGTGAATTCTGTTTACCAATTTGTCTAAGACAATATTTCATACCAACTCAAGAACAAAATATGTGATACCTGTTCATAAAATTAAAATAACAAATGAAAATTTAATTAACAAAAATTTTCCTCAGGAGTAGTGGTGGGTGTTGTACCACAGCAGGTTAAGCCTCCCCTTAGGACCCCCACCTGCCTACCTGGGCTCAGCTCCTCCACCTCCAATCCAGCTTCCCGCTAATGCATCTGGGGAGCAGCAGGCGGTGGCTCAAGTATTTGAGACCCTGCCACCCACAAGGTAGACCAGGATGGAGTTCCAGGTTCCTAGCTTCAGCCGGGCCCAACTTAGTTGTGGTGGGCATTTGGGGAGTGAACCAGCAGATGGAAGGTCCCTGAGTCTTTTTCTTTGCCTCTTTCTCTCTCTCTGCCTTTCAGTTAAATAAACATTTTTTTTTTTAATGAGTAAATGGGTTTCTCTTTAGAGAGAGCGTTGGTTAATTTTCTGTGTTAACTTAGCTGGAGCATGGTGCCCATGTTTGGGCAAATGTCAGCCTGCATGTGGTTGTGAAGACAATTATTTTTATGTGATTTGCACTTAAATCAGTAGACATGGAGAAAAGCGGATTCCACATTGTAATGTGGCTAAGCCTCATCCAACCGGTAGAAGGCCAGAAAACTGCAGTTCCCCAGCAGGAAGGAATTCTGTCTCCAGGCTACTTGCAGACTGAAGACTGCAACACCAACTCCTACCAGAATTGCCAGCCTACCCTGCTAATTTTAGACCTACCAGCTCCTACAGGCAAGCATATGAGCCAATTTCTTAGTCAGTCTCTCGCTCTGTCGCTCCATATGAGACATCTCCAGTTGATTCTGTTTTTCGGGATTGCTCTAACACAGAAGGGAGGAGAGATAACAGAGCCAGAAGAGCAAGGAGACTACAGAGATGTTTTCCTATGCTCACCCATGATTCCAAATATCCATACTGGAAGTGAAGGTATATCCAACAGCAGCTCATTGCTTTCTACCTAAACTGTACTTTTGAATAGGAAAAGCCAATAGTTCTCTGTAACTGAATGCTTCCACTTTTTTTTTCTTTAAAACAGATTCTTATCTTCCTTTTTCTTTTATTTCTACAATCCAAAATCCAATTTGAAAGAGAATGTGCTAAGTCATTCACAATAATTTGGAAGTTAACAGAATTATATACCATCTAGAGTTATAAAAATAAAAATCAGAATTTCATGGGAGAATTAAAGTATACCATTATACTAAAAACTGAACAACTGGTTCTCTGAGATGAAATATACTAAGCATTTTACAACTCAGTTTTGAGAAGAGATATTGTATTAAAGGAAAGTAATTTCTCACCACTTATGAGTCTCTGTCAGTGAATTCTCTTCTGCCTCTTGGTCAATTTTAGCTGAAAATACAGTAAAACAAATGAATAAGAAATGAATAATAAATTATTGTACCATCTCAAGCAAAATATGATCTGAATAATATGAAATTTATTTGCTAATTTAGATATATTCCACCTAGAGTTTATTTTTAAATTAATTAATAGCACATATATAATTGAAAATTATATGTAATCTAAGTTGATATTATATTAAAACAGATATTACATAATCAAAACTTTCACATTCTAAATAGTTTCTTTAATTATTTAGCTATTATCAACCTGAGAAAACAATTATTTCATATTTACCTTGAATATATCAGAATTTAAATATCAATAATTAGTAGAAAATAATACTCCTAAGCACAGGTGTAAGCTCCAAGTCAAAAAAACAAACAGAAATGGCATGTGACGCTCTTACTACAGTAAGAATTATGACCTCTTTTCAATAATGCTCACTGTACCAGATCACAAGTGAACAGATCAGGGTATGTCCTGGAAGGGGGTCAAGGTATGATAATATCCACAATTATATGTTGTCATTTTTATAAAAAAAAAACATAATAATAAAGAATGATAGTCTGACACACATCTAAGGTCCAAATTTAGGAAAGAGATGAAATCAGTGTTTCAACTTGCTTAAAAGAACAGAGGAACAGAGGGGCAGACAGTAATACACTGGGTTAACTCACAGCTTGCGATGCCCATATTCCAGAGAGCAACCACTCTGCACTTCTGCACTTCCCAATCTGCTTCCTACTAATATACTTGGGAAGTAGCATGATGTTCCTAGTACTTGGTTTTCTGCCACACACACATGGGAGACCAGGAAGGGATTCCTGACTCCTGGCAACAGCCTGGCTGTTGGGAGCAGTTGGGAATGAATTAGCAGACGAAATCTAATTCTCTCACTTCTGGCATTCCATCCTCAGGTCACTTTGCCTTCCAAATCAGTAAATAAATCTTAAAACAGCAACAACAACACAAGAATCCCAATACATAAAATGAGTATGGCAATGACTTTCAAAAATTTTTTTGACAACCAAGCATTCCAGGAATTTATGTAATACCCTACATCTCCACCCTACCCACCTCCACACGTACACAATTGACACGGAAGTTTCAACAATACTCTTATTTCATGCAATACTAATATTTTCAGTCCTTTCCATTAGATCCAAAATATTAGTTTTGATCTGTTAAATTCATCTCATAAGTTACTAATGATTTGAGACTGACAGTTTGAAAAAAAATCAATTAAAAAATATCCCTGAGACTAGTGAAAGAAGTTGTCCTTTTACAGTCATTCCCCTTTAGGCCATACTTGTGGCCATTTGGAGAAATTAGAAGACAAAGTGAAACAGGGCAAATTGATTATAAAAATTGGAACTGTGCATGAAATAAAAACCATGGTCACTTGGGAATTGTTAAAGTGTCTCTACCACTACTTAAAACACAATAGTACAGCTTGGGCTGGTTAATGTTTTACAACCTCAAGACAGTGTTTTCTTGAAGGTCTGTATAGTATCTGCAGAGTCGTAACCAAGTGTCATGCTGCCACTCTGCCAGGACTGTCAGGATTTCTCAGGAATCATTTGAGCTGGCAGCGGGTTTTTTTTTCCTTTCCTTTCCCTTTTTGTACTTTAGATTGTTTACATAAACTTACAGGTCATATTAAAAAATAGAATCAATGTTCCATGATTTTACTTTGAAAAGGTTCCAGCAGGAACATATTGTCTTGTAAAAATCTGCTCTGGGCTGCCTAACATAAAAAATGATTTGCTTCCAGAAACAATTCTAGAATCACATAAAGTTTGTTTAAGGAAAAATAACAAAGCATTGAAATGCATACCATTTCCAGAAAGGATATTTTTCCAATTGCCTTCACATGCCTTTTTTTTTTTCCTTTGTAAAATACAGAGATTAAGACTGAGATTGAAACAAAGAATTTCTGGACTACTTTAGAAGATTCAAGCCAATGAGTTATGAAACTTACAACATACTAGAATGAGATGCCAGAGATCTGCATTCTGTTTCTGATTCTGCCACTAAACTTAGCTATGTAACCTTGGGCAAACAGATTAATCTGTTAACATACGAAAAATATGTAGCATCATGCCTTCGATAATTAGCAGAGACTTAATAAATAAACGTCCTTTAAAATTTTGGACTTGACAATCTTAACATTCTTAAAGGGGTAAAATACATTATGATGTTTAACTAAGTCAACTGCTCTTTTATCGTTTCACATTATACGCAGATAAAAAATAACACATACAGTTTTTTAGACAGCATAAACCCTTAAATTGTGCTAAGTAGAATAAAGTGAGTTTTACTTGTTCATAATGATTCCCTTTGATGTGCACCGAAACAGCTTTTGCTTCATTGCACGACAAAGTCTGGCTAGAAACAAAACGTTTTAATCCAATGTGGCAGAAGATTGATTCTTACCAAAGGAAGAAGACATAAAAATAGTGTGTTTCACCAAACCTAATAGCCATATTACTATCATGAAGTAAAATTGGGATAGCAGAGAGTATTTTTAAATGTTCTATTATTCACTACTTCTACACGATTTTGAAGCTAAGGGTATTTGTGTATTCAAACTGTAATCAGCTTTGATAAACAGTCAAATGAAAGATCAAAGAAAGTGCATTAGAGTCCACATTTCAACTCTTGACGTAGAGTCAACAATTCAAGGAACTGAACAGATTTTCCTTTGTATGGCAGTCTTGGAAAAACTTCTTGAAAGGTTGGGGTGTAATTTCTTTTTCAAAATGCTGTTTGCATAAATGTACCATCAACATCCTGTTGTCATACTTCTTTTAAACACACTTATGATGTTAACTTAGTGACAAATGAAGAATGTGACTGCCTTAGGTTCTAAGGATGTACTTACCAAATTGAAATAAAATTTATTTAATCCATGAAAATTAAGGTATCATTGGAATAAAAAAAGAAAACTCCGAAATTTATTTAGAGAAAACACAAGCTAATTACATGCAGTGATCAAAATCTTAGAAAGCCAAAATTTTTCAGTTTGAACAACAACTTTTCCAGGCTGTATGGTACAATTGTTAAATATGCAGATTTCGGAGCCTAGATCTCCTGATGACATAAAAAACAGGTGATTTTTATATGAAGCATAAATATCTTCTTGTTAATGATTTTATTTCCTGACTTTGTTTCTCAGAAACATAAAAAATTATTTTCAGTTTATTTTTATCTGTACAGCTTCATGAAGAGCTTTGAAAGTATAATTTAGGGGCTGGCACTGTGGCATACTGGGTAAAGCTGCTGCCTACAGTACTGGCATCCCATATGGGCGCGGTTCAAGTCTCAGCTGCTCCACTTCCAATCCAGCTCTCTGCTATGGCCTGGGAAAGCAGTATAAGATGGCCCAAGTCCTTGGGCCCCTGCATCCACGTGGGAGACCCGGAAGAAGATCTTGGCTCCTGAATTTGGATCGCACGGCTCCGACCATTGTGGCCAACTGGGAAGTGAACCAGTGGATGGAAGACCTCCTTTTCTCTCTCTCTCTCCTGATTTCATTCTGTGTGTAACTCTGACTTTTGAATAAATAAATAAATCTTAAAAAAAGAAAGTATAATCTGAATTCAACATGCTTTATTAAAGTAGGCTAATATATAAAAGAAGAGATAAAAGGATTTCACACTACTTAGCTTATATCTTTTTGGACAAAAAGTGATGTGAAAAATTCTAGTAATCAATATTCAAGACAACCATAGGAAAGTTAAAAAGGCAACTAATATACACAACTAGGCACAAGGCTTAGTTTATAGTGATATTAAAACTGCTATCAAATCCTCTACAAACTTTGCCAGCCAGGGTCCTTGAACACCTCCAGTAGGGGTGTTTGTGTGACTACTAATACACACTACTCTCCAAGAGACTCCCAGAGCACAGGTCTCTGAGAGCAATTGCCTTTTGCCTACCTCATACCACAAAAGCTGCACCTCCTTTGCAAGGAATTATTCCCAGTATATTTTTTCAATTCCAGATCATACCAGGAATAGGGTTTGAGGCTAGAACATGAGGTTCAGCAGGAGGCAAATGTGAGCTTGATTTCTAGTTCAGCTACTAAATTGTGGTTTAATAACTTTAGATAATCATTTTGATATAAGAAATTTCTTTATCATTAAGAGAGAGTGATATACAAATTGCTTGGTGTACAGTAACACTCTTTTTGTCTTCCTCATTTCCACATCATGATTATTACAAGAAAGGAGGGGGATGTTTTGCTCGTAAAACATAAAAGTCTTGCATTGAAGGAGCATCACACATTTTTTTGAATGTTCCATTCAGAATTCAGATGTAGAATTAAATCTATACTTTTTCAAAATAAAGGTACTTCTTTATACCAACACACTGAAGTTATGGCTCAAGGAATAAGTCTAAAATACACTTCATATTTTTTTCTTTTAACTTACTATGTATCAGTAATTATTTTAATAGATACAGAATAAAGAACTCCTAATGTTTATAATATAAGCAGAGGCCAATATCTTCTTAGTCTTTTTCTTTTCTTTTTTAAAGGCACAGCAGTAAATGAAATTGCTGTAAAAGGGAGGATAGTACTTTCAGTAAATCTCAGGAGAGCCTGATAAAATCTTAAAGATAAAATTATTTTTTAAAATATATGTAATGCCGGCCAGCACCGCGGCTCACTAGGCTAATCCTCCGCCTTGTGGCACCGGCACACCGGGTTCTAGTCCCGGTTGGGGCGCCGGATTCTGTCCCGGTTGCCCCTCTTCCAGGCCAGCTCTCTGCTGTGGTCAGGGAGTGCAGTGGATGATGGCCCAAGTGCTTGGGCCCTGCACCCCATGGGAGACCAGGAGAAGCACCTGGCTCCTGGCTTCGGATCAGCGCGGTGCGCCGGCCGCAGCGGCCATTGGGGGTGAACCAATGGCAAATGGAAGACCTTTCTCTCTGTCTCTCTCTCTCACTGTCCACTCTGCCTGTCAAAAATATGTAATGCCCCTTTAAATTAGTCCTTTTTA